ATCAAACAAATGACTTAGCTTTGGGAGCAGAAATAGCAAATTCAGTTAAGTGTGCTAACGTACTAGTAAAATCGTTCAGGTGGCGGTGAGGCGGGAGACGGACAGGCCACTGCCTCTTCTGGGTGACCGCATGAGAAAGGCCATCCTCTGAGTTCAGTTTGAAAGAACCAGGAAACCTCCAGCACTGCATCTCCTGCCTCGCTCTTCTGCTGTGTCACCAACGTGCTATTTTAAACAGGAAGCGCATAATTGTCTGTCACAAAACCCAGGGAGCTTGGGGCCAGCCTGCCTGAGCTCCTGTATCCACGTCAGCCTGTGTGGGTGTTTTGTGCATTCAAGAGATGCTCGATGGCCATTGATTGGGGTGTGGGAGGAAGATATTAGAGTATCTAAATTTATTTTGTACCCCAAAGTGAAAGAACTCAAGCATATTAAGTACCAAATCCTAAATACACTCACTGCACAGAACCTTTCCTTCCTTCACGAGGTGGTGATTTTCACACCTAGACCTGCTGTGTTGTGAAAACGGTGAGTTTCCCACAGTGTGAAGTCCTTTCTTATTTATTTCTGACAATATAATTTGTAGTGCAGATGTAAATGATTTGCTCGTTTCTCACCTGAAAACAGTTCTGGTTTTTGCTTGACTCCAGTGTGTGGTGGGGTGGGAGGTGGGACTATGCAAATCTGAATCTAGTTACGTGATGAGCTTTGGTCCAGGAGATGGGACCTTTAATTTTCAAATGTCCTCACCAGGCCTCATTGACAAAATACGCATTGTCTTTTTGCAAAAAAGTCAACTTTTGATGTTTAAAACCCCCTATAATATTTGACTATTTAAAAAAAATTATAGCTAGAAATGTTATTGATGTCAAGGAAATGCATTTCTGCAGCTTTTCAAGTAGATGGAGCCCAGTGTGTGGTTGACCAGACTGACCACTTGTGGTTCTGCCTTCAGCGTGGTCTCGATGCGTTCATTTCTCTCTGTCTTGTTCTTTTTATTCTGTTTTCCTTTTCTCATTTATCAAGTCTAACTGGGGGACTGGTAGACTTACAGGTCTGCAGCGGACATGTGCTCTTTCTGCCTGACCAATGGCTTTTCACCTTTCTTCTGGGAATAGAGCCCCTACTTAAAACGCTGGAAACTTCCCTGCTGTGGCTGATAGAGCTGTCAATCCAATACCCCCAAACCTCCATCAATGTCATTGCCATGGGCCTGGGCTGAGCTGCAGACACAGGACTGAGTTGAGCTCAGGACTTGTATAGAAGATATCGTGAGGGGGGTTCTCTGTGCTGAAGTGTCTGGCTGGGAGGACCAGACCGACCTGGAACTCCTGGCAGCCCAGGAATGAGGTCAACACAGTCATGCCCAGATAAGGATGGAGAGGTGGGTCCTCTTTGTCCTGTGTCTGAGACTGTGGTCAGCTTCTTCTGGCCCCTGGCCTCTCTGTGGGTTTCTTAGTCCCTCCAGCAGTGAAATTTCTTACTTTTATGTGGGCTATTCTGTGGCAATGTATGTCCTTACTGCTGCAGTGTTTCTCAGCAAGACCACCTAGTATTGGGAAAACCACATGAACCCACTAACTTTACCAACAAAAATGGCAGTTCATAGTTTGATCCAACATAACAGAAAATCAAGGTGTTCAGAAAACTCATTACTCTCCACCCACTACTTTGGCCATTCTGAGCCTCGGCGTCTTCTCACTGAAAAGAGAGGGGTACCTACCAACCTCACGCAAGGCTCTATGATTATGTTGCCCGTCGTTACTGATGGGAAGCTCTGACATCCTGAGAAGCATCTCAGCTCTTTGGGATGTTACTTCCAGTGGTGTGTAAGTGAATTTCTAGAACTTGGGCCATACGTGAGGCTGTGAAGCTATCAACCTGTGTCTGGAAAGTTACAAAGCCCTGACCTAGGGCAGATGAGCTTCTCCCATCCCGCTGGGGTTCAGGGGCTGCTCATTGCACCTGGCTGCTGGGTCGGGTTAGGTCAGACGCATCAGTGTCAGGTCTTTCTATTTGGGGATATAGAGTGTGAGAAGCCCTAGGGAGGACCCTGTGAGTGAGGGTGTTCTTAGAAGACAGGGAGATGCGGTGAGCGGTCAAAAGGACACCAGCACTTGCTGACTACCTGCTGAAGACCTGCACTGATCGCCAGCGTGGTTAACCTCACAACAGCCCTGGAAGACAGGTGTTCTCACTTGAGCACACAGGCTAACAAGGCTAGGTGGCCTATTGAGATGCTAGCCAAGCGGCAGGGGCAGGTCCCAACCCAGACTGCCAGGCTTGGGTCCCATGTCACAATTTAAAAAGTTGACCCAATAGAAAAACACTACAATTAAGCAAAGCCTGGCCAGCCGTCCTGCGGTAGCTTGGGTGATACACGAGAGGGACGGCCACTGTGGGGGAAACCCACCCCATGTCAGAAACCTTAACAGTCCAGAGCAATGTTTAAGGGGGTTCAATGTTTCAAAGAAGGTAGTTCCCACCTTTTGAGGGGCCATTTTAGCTCTACATACACAGACTGACCCGCTAAAATGGACACAGGAAATCGAAGTCTCATAATTAGGACTACATGATACTTAACTCAATAATTAGGATATAAAGTACCCTGAAAAAATAAAAATGTTAGAAAACATTGCTTTAAAGAGACATAATGAGTCCCATTTGGGAGAAAGAAAAACAGACAATAAATCAGCTGAATAAATACAGACTAAAATCTGGATAGAATTATCGCAAATGAGTTAATAGGTTAATTCAAAATAATATTTTAGGCTTCCAGCCACGGGCTCACAGATTCACTAAGTCTGTCCTCAGCATCAGTTTTCAGAATCTGTTCTGTATTTATTTTAGTGGAAATGAGTGAAGAATTAAGACATGACTAAATGACTTTTCCATGATGTGTATGTTGTGCTGGTGCCATAAAAACTAGTTTCCTTAAAGTTTAATTTATCAATGAGAGTGGAAGATTGAAATAAAGATA